CAAAAAATAATTGGATTAAGTGAACGTTTTCAGAGTAGATTCATGTGAAATTAAATTTTCAATGAAATCCAATCAATAATATAAATAAATTAAGTTGACAAAGACAGAAGTAATTTTCCTTTTCTTGTACAAAAATGTAGGCTTTCAACAGTTGAATCAAATATTTAATATTTACTTCCTTTTTATTGCTCCTATCTCTATTAAACATGTCAATTTCAACAGAAACCAAAAACATAAAAAACCAATTTTGAATGATTAGAAGTTATTTGTGTATTTTAATATGTCTAAATATATCATTTCAATTTCAATCATATTTACTAAGACAAACATTTTCAGAATAATTAATAGCGAGTTAACCTTCTAATTGAAAACAAACAATTATTAAAACAATTACATGAATCAAGTTTAAAATGAATGATTGAGGTGAACAAAAGCCTTTATTTTGTTCCGAAAAATAGTTGAAATTGATTTTTTTCCATATAGATTGATGCACAAAACTAAATATCAAAAAAATATGTTCAACTATTCTTTTCAACAAAATGAGTGCTTTTTAAGTATCATTATCGAAATTGTACATACTGAATGCAGTTTGAATACATAAATAGTGTGCGTTCAATTTATTCAAATGAAGGACTGTATAACAAAATTTTCGAGCACGAATTCATTGAATAAAAATGAATAAATTTACTGGAAAATCTTACTATTAGGAAAATAAATGCTCACTTAGAAACATTTTTTTTTTTTTTTTGTAAATGTGAAGAAAAATTTGTCATTTTAATATTATTTTTACGAATTTTACCGTTTTTCATATTTCCAAAATTAAACACATAAAAGTATTATATTTACCAATTGCCGCTCGACTGGAAAAACGAAGTCATTTTATTTGCGTGAAATTTTTATTACAATTGAAAAATTTCAGTTATTTATCTATACACAGTGTGTCGCAAAGAAACGTAAACTTTAAAGAAATATACCATATTAGTGGCGCCATCTATTGAGGGTTTTTGCGATGTCAAAGTTTCATGAGGATCGGACCACTAGCAGCCAAGTTATTGCATCTTAACTGACAATATGTTCGTCATCGGTCGAAAAACGAATTTCAAACGAAAAAATAATGAACTTTTGAGTTATATTTTGAAAGTCTAATGAATTAGACATTTCAAAAACCATTTAGATGGCGCCACTAATATGGAATATTTCGTTAAAGTTTACGTTTCTTTGCGACAAACTGTGTATAGATAGTATCTATTAGATACTCTGCTTCCATCAAAATCCAAAATTGTCGATTGAATTTGATTTTATTCATAATTCACTAAACAGCATTATGAAGAACATTTTAAAATTTATTGTTGTTGCTTATTAAGATTAATGTCGCTTATCTCAATATCTAGCAAAAAATATATATCTATGGATAAAAATGTGAACAATATTCAAAAAAAGGTTAAAGCGACTATAAAATGCTTATGAAGTTTATATTTTTGCAGACAACATTTCACGCGATTATTATTTTAATATGTGCTGTGGTAAATTTAATTTGTTAATGTAGTTGTTTTTGCAAATAATGACAAAATTGTAAAGTTCGTACGGTAATTGGTAACAGTAATAAACGATTTATAGAACCTTCACAATTACCACATTTTTCTGTGTATAATATTATAATTCTTATGTGTATAAATTAGATGACTTCGAAAATTCTGTTTTCATTTGTAATGAAAATTAAAAGTAATTCAAAATAAAAGTCCTTGAAGTAATTAGAAAAAAAATGAAATAGTTTTGTAAAAAATCGGAAAAGTAACACTTGAAAAATAAAATGAGACAATAATGTGATATTCCGATCGGAAGGTGAACTTTCATATCAATTATGGGACATAGTGAGGACCTCACATCATATCGAGGTCTCTTTGTCATTTGACATCGATAACTTTTTCATCAATTGGATAGGTATGTACAGTGCCGCTTGTAATGGCAAAGTCTACATGAATTCAGACAGTTAATATAGGCACGTATCATACGTCCTCAAGGAAAAAATTTAAGGGGGGGTAATTGAAAAAAATCGAGAGGGGTAAGCAAAAAAGTTAAGTGTATTTTGCAAAAAATGTACTTTTTTCGTTTTTTTTTTTGCTCCTCACTTTTTCGGCGAAAATCCCTAGCAAATTTAAAGAATTTTTCTTACATTGAAAACAAAAGTGAGGAGCAAAAAAAAAAAAAAAGGTCCTCACTTTTTTGGCGAAATTCCCTAGCAAATTGAAAGAATTCTTTGAAAATTTTGAAGGGGTAACACTTCGTCAGGGGGGGTAATCGGACCCCTCGGACCCCTGCTGAGGACGTCACGTATACTTTTGAAGATGACTGATTTTTTACTTTTTTCCCAATCGTAATATTTATCTATTCTAATCCATCTTCCTTTGTGCGAATAGTAAGAAATTTTATTTATTTAAACCTCCGTCCGACACCTATTCCGATACCGTCTACCCTTGGTACCTGGCTGGAACCTTATACATTTACGAGCATTTGCATGTAAATATGACCTCACACTCATTCTTATCACAAGCAGGTAAACATTTTTCAACTCTCATATTTCTCAGTGGTTTCGGCATATGTTACGAGGGTTGCTCCATAATTTTTTTTAAAAACATATATAACACAGTTGTTTTTTGTCGAAAATGGTTTTATTGTTTTTCAAAATATTCCCCGAGATGATCGATACACTTTTGCATTCGATGAAACCATTTGTCATAGCATTCGTGCCACTCCGAAACTGATATCTCCAAAACGTGTGTTTTGAACGCTTCAACTGCTTCTTCTGGTGTCGAAAATCGTTGACCACGTAGTTTTTTCTTCACGCTTGGGAACAAAAAAAAGTCATTGGGTGCCAGGTCAGGACTGTACGGTGGATGACCCATCAGTTCGATGTTTTGACCGGTCAAAAATCGAGTAGTTTGAAAAGATGTGTGAGAGCTCGCATTATCGTGATGAAGAATTATTTTGCGACGGTGGTTGTTTTTTCTTATTTCACCAAACACTTCGGGCAAACAAATGGTGGTATACCAATCAGAATTGACGGTCTTACGATCCTCTAGTGGAACGGTTGCCACATGACCACTTCTCCCGAAAAAACAGGCGACCATTCGCTTCGAAGTGCTTCTTGCTCGAACAACTTTCGTTGGGTTATCTTCATTTTGGAAGACCCATACAGTCGACTGCTGTTTCGTTTCGGGCTCATAGGCATATATCCACGATTCGTCACCAGTGACGATTTTATTAACGTCTTTTGAAGCACCACGATTGAATTTCTTGAGCATTTCTTTACACCAACTCACACGAGCCATTTTTTGTTCATCGGTCAATTTATGTGGGATCCAACGAGAGCAAATCTTTTTTACGGCTAAATGTTCATGCAAAATTGTATGTATGCTGTGGGATGAAATGCCCAAAGATGCCTCAATCTCACGGTAGGTCACATGACGATCTTCCATAATCAGTTTTCTGACAGCATCGATGTTTTGTGGCACAACAGCCGATTTTGGACGACCTATATGAAACTCGTCTTTGAGCGAACTACGACCGCAACGGAATTCTCGGTACCAGTTATAAATTGTCTGAAGGGTTGGTGCTTCATTGCCAAAGGCCAAATGAAGTCAATCGAAACACTGTTGTTGAGATAATTTACTTCGAAAATCGTAGTAAATCATTTTACGAAAATCTTCACGTGTAAAATTCATTTTTTTGTTGAGTCGCAGTTTACCAGTCACTGTAAACAATACAAATAGCGTTCGTACGACAAAAGGTTCAGGGCACGAATACATACCAAAACATCAAACTTTACGAATATGACAATGGTTTACATCGGGCAACACTATAAGTACCATTTTAAAAAAAATTATGGAGCAACCTACGTACTACTATTGTACAAGTTGTACATGTGAAGAAAATTCCAAAAACTACTTTTATTCTATTTTGGATAATTTCAATGTTTTTTGAAGAAAAAAAGGATGATGAAAATAAACAGTTACGTAACTAGAGAAATAGTCATCGAATGAAATTTGTCACACAATGTTTGCATTGAAACTGGTCCCAAACTTAATTTGAACCAATTCGGACCAGTATCAATACCAAAATTCTTATATTTACCACAAGTCGCTATAGCTATATTAGAAATATATTTAATTAACGATTAAGACGAAAAAGGTCTGGCTGGAACCGGGTATCGGACGGAGGATTAATCAATTAATTCGGTGAGTTAGAATACAGAAACGAATACGTCGAAAAAATGAAAGCACATTTGCAGAAAATGTCAGACGTTTTTAAAATTTGACTTTTGTAGTTTTATTAACATTTTTTTAATGCTATGGTTTACCTGACCCTTCCATATCATGAATTTTGGATCGATATTTCGCACTTTATTATATTGAAAAATATGTTGGGCTATATAAAATTCCACAAATGAAAGTTTGTTTTACATTTTTTTTTAAATATAATTGATTAGGATACTTGATCGTATATTGACATTAGCATGTATCAACGAATAAAAGAACTTCAAATTTCTCCTTCAAATCTCCCCTTCAAAATGGCATACTTGTATTGGTATAGTTTTCAAAAATCTACTCCGATTGAAATTTCTATCGAAGCAGATTTTTAAAAATTATATCAACAGAAGAAAAAATCGAAATTTATACCCTCAGTAGTGAGCCACTTATATGAGACACCCTGTATAAGAGGGCAAGTCTCTCTCAAAGGTGACCAATTTTTTCATTTTTTGAGATCAGAGAGTTGTTTTTTCAAGTTTAAAATATTACCTATTCTTTTTTATTGATATTTTACAGTTTTTTAATTTTATTCAGGCTTTTCAAATATACAAAAATCTTAATTTTATTACAGTTGTGTTATTTTAAACTACTAAACTATTTGTGGTCCGATTTTACTGAACTTGTCATACTCACCCTGTAACCTCTTGAGGGTGTCGAATGAAGATTATCTGTGTGTTTTGTTCGATCAGTACTTTCGATTTTACATGCCCGCCATGTGCAAGACATTGACAACAAATATTGAAAATAACATTTTTTTAAAGATGTGTGCAACTAAAAGTAATTTCATCCGTAATATTGCATGTTTTCAAGCTGAAATATTCAGATTTGGACATGAAAGATGCACTTTAGAAGGAAAAAACAATGCTCACTCAAAGAAACAAGTGACATCGTTGATTGGACGTCAAATGACAACATATACTAGTCATTGTACCGCTTGATAGCTAAATGTGTAATACCAACAATATTATTTAGGGAAAAAGACGTTGTGCATCAACTATTTTCATGAATCTGCAAAATTCAGTTCTTCTATTATCTATACAGCCTTAGTGACATACCTTAAACAGAGATTAAATCTTATTTTTGTATTACTGATATGAGAAATCTGAGGAAGATTGGCTGTGATGTACCCATAAAGCCCAGACATTATACATTCAGAATTGGTATTGAACTCTGTGGAAAATCTTTATTAGTTTTGGTGCCAGAAATTCCAGAAGATCTACAATGATGAAATTATGAAATATGACACATTTTTGAAAAAAAAAAACTCAAGACTTTTTATTATTGACATAATACAACTTTATAAAACCAGATAACCAAAATAAATTGCAACACTTTACACAATTTTAATATTGAATTTGAACTGCTTGAAGACGATTTCGTACCATAATGTTCATCAATATCTTGAGTTTTAACGTTTTTTCGTGTTGTTTGTATAACATATACTTTATCACTATCAACTGAGTATTTTTCAAGAATATATTCAAAATTATTTGGCAACAAAGTACATTGTGTATCAAACCAACTGTTAATGGAACCTTGGCTATCTTTTGCTAAAATGCACAGTTCCAAATGTTCACATTTCATTTGGCAAATTTCATTTCCGGGTATGAAATCCATTCGACGGTCATATGGTAAATGATGTTCGACGATGATCTGATTACTTGGATTTCGAATTGAAATATGAAAACCAGCGATGTCTTTACTCATTTGGAGTACTGACCAAGAAATTGAGAGGTTTCCTCTGAAACTATGTTTGAGATAAAATGCAGCAATTAGTATGGCGAAAAATGGTTTTTTCATCAAAACTTACAAGAATATTTCACGAAATTTTAAGTCAGGTATTGCGTATAAATCATTGTTTATGGTTTTGTTAATGCAATTCAAACTCTCATCATCTATCTCTTCCAGATGCTTGTTTGATAATACATCAGGTGCACGACAAATAATGTCACTATAACTTTTTGGTTTATTTAATACAGTTTGATAAAATTGCTTCAACGGTCTTATGTTGCAATCACATCGTAATGGATTCCCTGTAATAGATCCATTGCTTATAGTCATATAGTGACATATTTTTTATATCACACTAAAAAATATTACCTGAAATATGCAGTTGGAGTCCACGTTTTACTTGCGTTAATAACTTTAAGTCAAATAATTCAATCAAATTATTCTGTAAGTCCAAAAAGTTGAGTGTGGCTGGATATTGTAAATTTCCGATTTCAAAGTATCGGAATTTATTTTTACTGGCATATAGGTTTGTTAATTTTTCAGATAACGTGAAGTTAAAATCATCATTAGAAAGAGTAGTAAGTTCATTATATGATATGTCCAGTATTTCGATTTGAGTTAGATTTGACAAAATATCTAAAATTAAAAAAATATAATAAAAATAAAAAATGTATATAATATAACAATAATATAATATTAAATACATACTTGATCGAATTTCGTTAATATAATTATGTGAAATATTCAAAAACTTGACATTCTGCGTGCCAAAAGCCAAATCATAGGTAAGAACTGGAATTTCATTGTAGCTCAAATCAATTTCTTTCAGAGGATATGGAATATACGGATCCGATGGAAAAGTTTTCTTTGTGATAAAACTAAATTTATTGTTGCTCAAATTAATCTAAAAGAAAAAAAAATATTGAGTTTGGTCGCTTTATGTCAAAACCAATTCTATCAGTAGTATTGAGCATATCAAAGCGTCGTATAAAATAATTTATTGGTTATTTCACAACTCTAATAATTACTGACATTTTCTAAACTGAGACAGCCATCTAAAACTCCATTTGTCTTATTGTCAAGTTTTTCCAGACTATTGAATGATATATCCAAGTTTCGCAAAGAAACCAACCCGTAGAAAGCATCGATTGGAATGACAGAAATGTTATTTCTTGACAAATTCAATGTCAACAAATGCAATAGACCGTCGAATGCTTTAGAACTAAATTTAGTATGAAATTGAAATTTATGAATTATTGATAATAGTCGCTCATTTTTTTTAAATTAAGTTCATACCTTATATTTGAAATTAAATTTTTACTCAAATTAATTTCAAACACAACTGGCAATTTACCAAAGGCTCTCAATGGAATATCTCTTATTTTATTATTCTGTACGTGAAAAATAATATAAAAATAATTTGGACAATATTATTTTAAGTTTTCGATTACAATGTGAACTCACTTCTAAATGAAGATATTGTAATGATGACAAGATAGGAAAACTTGTGCTAGGAATCATAGTAATACCGTTGTTACTTAAATAAATATGTCGTAAGGATAATAAACCCCGGAAACTATCTTCGTTCAGTCGATTCTCTAATAAATTATGTCGTAAATCTAACACTATCAGTGCATTCATTGAAGGCCATGTTCTCGAAGGAATTGAATAAATACTGTTATTACACAAACTTAGATAATTTAATGCATTTGGTATATCGAATATGTGGGTAAGTTGATTATTTTCTATTGTTAATGAACGTAAGCTCTCAAGTTTTGTAAATGAACTCTTTGCCACATTTCGTAACTTGTTGTCATTAAGATTAATTTCTAATAATGTAGGTATTGTTCCAAAAGTTGCCGACTTGATCTCTTCCAATCGATTAAAACTTAAGTTTAAATATCGAAATGAAAATAACGTTTGAAATACTCCATTGAAGATTTGTGTGAGGTTATTATGTGATATATCAATTGTATGTAATTCATATAATTTGGGGAATGTATTTTTTGGTATTTCCAAGATTTGGTTGTATGACACATTCAGGACTTTTATTCCAGTCATATTTCCCAACGGGACCTAAAAATATGAATGGTAAAGAAAATAATAGAGTAAAAAAATGATTATATTAGATTTGGAAGTAATAGAAAGAAGCCTGTGGCTTTCATTAGGGTAGTACAAATATTTTGCGGAAAAACTACTTTTTGGAATTACTACAATATCAAACATCAATATTCAAACTTTTGATGTGTATATTGATTGTAATAATTGCGCAAACTAGTGGTTAAAAATTATAATTGTGAATTAATATATCTCAATTTCTTCTGGTATTTATTTCTCAAGACCAGACAAAAAATTAGGAAGTCAAGTTAAGCGTATAAATTAAAAATACAGAGCCAGTCTTTGGCCGTAGAGCTTAATATGAAAGGTGGTAACGTACTACTAACCAGTAATACTACCATGGTGTGAGTCACCGATTGAGATGGGCATTTCTATAGGATAGAATGTGTGAGAATTAGGGCAGACTCGGGGCAATAAGGGCAGGGAAATGCAAAAATTCATTGGATCAAAAAATCATCGTAGTGAAAGAAGAGATACATGTGTAGCCATATGTACGCTGAACGCATGCGGCTATGACTACAAATGTTTTTCTTCTTTCTTTTAGTTACTGTGCAAAAAATTTCGATTACATTACCATTTATTGAGTGGACAACGAGTGGATACACTCGATTGACGTTTTTCCGCAACTTCGTTGGGTAGATAAAAAATGGAATAAATGAGTTTTACTCAATTTTAATCTGGATGAAATTTGTAGAAAAAAAATCGATGTCACCTGGAATACCAAATTATTTTAGATTCCTTATAAAATTCCATTTCGAATGGTATATAAATTATGGGATTTCCATGAAATTATGGCATGTTTGGTGGCGTTTTACGGTGGACGTTTGGCCGAAATATGAAATTTTTTGAGAAAAATCGTCTTTTAAGTCTCATCCCAAGTCAGTAGAATACTCTTTTAGAAGAGAGTACACCCTTTTCTCACTCTATTCGTATAGTTTTATTCGAATCTCTTCTAACTCTTTTGCTTCAAACACAGTACGCTTGTTGTGTATGCATATTACACATGGAAGGAATGGGAATTGAATAGACGTGTTTAATGCAAAAGAGTAAGAAGAAAGTGATAAGAGAGTCGAATAAAACTATACGAAAAGAGTGAGAAAAGAGTCTACTCTCTTCTAAAAGAGTATTCCACTGACTTGGGATTGCACACTAAGCCCCAAGGCCTAAGACTTGCAGTGTATTTACTATGTATCCTAATATTCCTATGCTTAATGTGATCAACTACGTTTCACTAAAGCATTAAATTGTCTTCCTCTACACAATGCAAAAAAAATTTGCTCAATTAAATGATATATGTATGTTTAATTCAAATGAAAAAAGACAACTATTCTGGTGCAGTAAAAAGAAACTCGAAATATTATTTTGAGTAGAAGATGCGAATATAGTTTGCAATTTACAAAAATTGAAAGTAACTCTTTGGTAACTTTACCGCTGATAAATTTGTAAGCCGATTGAAGGACAGTATGATCTCGGTTGCATATGACAGTTCATCGAATGTTTTCTTTGTAAATGTTGTTATGGAATTATGTGACAGATCGAGAATAGACATATTCACACAATTTTCAAACGATTGCGGTTCAAACCTTTCTATAAAATTATGTGATATATTTATGTGTGTCAAATACAAGTCCTTGAAAGATTGTTTTTGAATTTCAACAATTTTATTTTCAGCCAAATTAATGATCTGTAATAAAGATAAGAAATTTCAATATAAAAGTGAAAGAAAAACAAAACCATCAATCCCGATACCTCAATATAATTTAGAGATGCAAACATTTGGTAATCAACTTTTTTCAATTGATTTCTGGCTAAGTCAATAGTTCCAATACGAGTAATCGACGAAAATGTTCCACGTCCAACATCACTTATCAAGTTATCATTCAAATACAACCGCCTGTAAACTCAATATATGGTATACCATCCATTATAATGACGAAAAATACTGATCTACCTTAGAAATCTCATACCCCGGAAACTATTTGCGTCCAGACGTTTTATTTTATTACCAGATATGTCTAATAGACGGAGCACAGAATTTCGTGCAAACGTACCTCTGAAATAAATATTTTCTATTAATTTGAAATATTTCTCCAAAACACTTTTTCCCGAACAAAAGTTTTCCCGAATTTTTTGGCAAAACATTCCCTCAGGAAAAACTGTTTTCGGGTAAAGTTCTTAGTGTACACTGTACAGGTGTACACAGATAGAGATGACATAACATGAACACTGAATTAACTCTCATTTCAATATTTGACTCAAAATTAGTCGGATTCGTTACCTAGTAACGGTTTCCTACTGTATGTGCCGTTTGCATGTTTTGTCCATATCTCCTGATAGTTTTTGCAAAAAAATATCTCTGGTAAATTTTAAGCTGTTGAGTGCTAATTTACAGAATTTTAGTATGATGGAAAATTTCATTTTCTTCAAAAAGTATGCCAAATTTGTCTACTTAAACTCCGTAAAAATGCGTATTATGGTTTTTTTTCAAATTTGTACTATTAGTTGCAATACACTTTTCATACAAATATTCGCATTTTGGATTTTTGACGTAAAACTTTGCGCAGATTATTTTTTTTATAACAAAGTAAAATTCTGAAAGTTTCAAGAAATTCCAATGTAGATTTTTTTAAATTAAACTATCTTGTAAAAGGAGCGAGTACGACGTTTCCCCCTTTGCTAAGCGAAATTAATCCGATATACGGCGCTGATGTAAATGTCACTCTATGTCATTCCACAATGATACATTTTTTGGCTTGACAATATATAAGCTCTTCATTCAACATGCATAATTTTTGAACGGTCGAGTAAAAAAAAGAAACATATCATAAAATATTCTTCTTACGTTTATCATAAAAATTCTCTATATTTTAAATTTATTTGTTTAAAAATAACAATAATTTCATAACTAATTGAACAAGAATCTAATGTAAAAAGTAATACCAATGCGACACCCACCGTTAAAATAGAAAAGGAAACTTATTTGGAATTGTAACATTTTGGTCCGCCATAACAGCATCTTCGTTTTGCTTCTCTGTGATTGGTCAAGTAAAACGAAGATGCTGCCATGGCGGACCAAAATGCTACAATGGAGACCACTAAGTTTCTTTTTGCATTTTTACGGTAGGTGTCGCATTGTCATTAGTCATTACTATTTACATTGGATTCTTATTTAATCGATAAAACATTTTTTGTTGAAATTATTGTAATTTATAAACAAATTAATTTTTTTATAAAAAAATTTTTTTAATAAATTTTTTAATGAAAAATGTTAGAAAAATATTTTATGACATATTTTTTTCAACGATTCACTTTGAATGTGTATGCATTTTAAATGAAGAGCTTATATATTGTCAAGCCAAAAAAGTATTATTGTGAAATGACAGAGTGACATTTATATCAGCGTCGTATATCGAATTAATTTCGCTTGGCATAGGGGGAAATATTTTGACAGATAGTACTCGATCCTTTTAGATTTTGCCAGTGATATTTTTTTGGCAAAAAAATTCAGGGGAAATGATCAAAACATGCAAACTGCATATACTTATAAACTATATATAGTTGGATATCATTTCTTACCACTTAAGTACACACTTTGTAACAAAAAATTTTCAATTTTATTTATACAGATCGATGTGAGGTTCCGAAAAAATATATTTGTGAAAAAAGGGTGCTTCAACATAGTTTCTGACCAGGGGTCCGAGGGGTTGGATTACGCCTCTGGAGATTTGGGAAACCCTTTACAAATTGAGAAAAATATTCTTTAAAATATTCGTTCGATTTGCTAGTGATTTTTGCGAAAAAGGTTTTTTAGCTCTTCACTTTCTGAATCGGGAGAAAATATTCAATTTTGCTAGGGTTTTTTGGCGCAGAGAAAAATCTTTCAATTTGCTAGGTTTTTATTAGCCAAATGCTCTGAGCCAACCCTCCCCCCAAGATTGAATTACCCTTTTATATTTAGGAAAATTTTGAAGTTATCCCCGAGAGAAATTTTTTAGTACCCCCGAGCCACGTGGGTGTGGAGACTTAGAGGGCAGGGGTCTTAAAAAATCTCTCTAGTCATTCTAAAAAACGTTGTAGTACATTATATTTTGATCTGATGAGGTTTTGACATGATGGGTTGCTCACTAGAGCATCCTTTATTTTCACAAACATATTTTTTCGGCTCATCGATCTGTATAAATGAAATTGAAAAATGTGTGTGACACTTCGGGTACTTTACTGGTAAGTAAAAGTCCCATTGCTGAAAAGTGACCTCATTATTATTGTTTTGTGTGAAAAATATTTGGGATTACAACTTGAAAACCGCTATAATACTCTACTATGTATAATATTCTAATTGAAATTAAATTTGTACAGTTTATGCAAAGTACTATCTAGATGCTATCAGAAGCAGCATGCGTATTTGGTCAGAGTGAGATTAAAATTGATTTTTCAATACATCGAACATTTTCGAGTTTATTGAACAAAAAATTAAATTCTCGATAATCCCTCTCTTAAACCTTCCGTCTCAGCGGCAAGCGATTATTTCTTCGATTTGGTAGGATTTTTTCATATGAAAGTGAAGACCTTTTTTGCTCTTCAATTTGTGTGAGATCGTTAAAGTTCTAACGATGTGATAGGGTTTTTGATTGGCGGATGAATCCATTGACGAAAAACATGTAGAAAGATCCAATCATTTTTTGAATGATGCATTTAATTATTAAAAAATTTTGAAGAGCGGTTTGCCAGTTGTACTCCCAATAGTTAATTTCTTTTCACATGGCACTTTTTTTGTTTTAATAAATACATTTATATAAATTAAAAGAGCTCCCACATTTACCTAGCTATTTCGGTTATAGAATTGTGTGATATGTTACAGAAACTCAATTTAGTTAATTCGGCAATATGAGACGAGTCAATTTTCGCAATGTTGTTGTAGCTTATGTCAAGGCTTTCTAAATCACGCAAATTTTTGAACTGATTTCTTTTAAGGGAGTCAAGTTGATTTCCATGTAAATCGATAGTTTTTAATTTCCGTAATGGCTAAAATTTCCAAAAAAAAAAAATTAAATAAAAATATATCAATTAATAAAGTTTTTATTTTATTTTGATTACTTGCAAAAACTCTATACTGATTTCGGAAAGGTTTCCATTTGATAAATGTAAACGTTCAAGTTTTTCCTTTATTGGACCATCAAATGCGCTTGGATCCAAAGTTGTAATGTGATGTCTATTTAGTTTGAGATACATCAGCTTGCCTAATATCTGAATAATAAATCAGCTATTGTACTAAGGTATGTCAAATTTATATAACTTACTGTTAAGTGCACGAAGTGTTACTAAAAAATTTAACGAACGCGAAACGATTTGTTGCATTTCTTGTTATGCATTCGTCTAAAAAATGCAAAACATTGTCATCAAACACAATAAGCGTTCATTCGAGTTCGTTTGCATTTGTCACGAAGACAAACGATTACATTTGTTTTTTTTATGAACGATTGTAAACGAACATGCCATCCCCTTTTACGAATACGAACGAATACGAATCGAAAAAATACCGTCTTCGCCTCTTCTCTGGGGCATATTGAAGGGCTTGACCAAAAAGTGCGAATAAAATTATTGATAGTTGTAACCATGGTCATACATTTGACATACGTCCTCAGCAGGGGTCCGATTACCCCCCCTGACGAAGTGTTACCCCTTGAAAATTTTCAAAGAATTCTTTCAATTTCCTAGGGATTTCCGCCAAAAAAAAGCGGACCTTTTTTTTCAATTTTGCTAGGGATTTTCGCCGAAAAAGTGAAAAGCAAAAAAAAAAAAACGAGAAAAGTACACTTTTCGCAAAATACACTTCACTTTTTTGCTTACCCCTCTCGATTTTTTTCAATTACCCCCCCCCCCCCCAAAATTTTTCCCTTGAGGACATCTATCCGGATGTTTCATATCACGTACAAAGATCGCCGTGATAAACCACGATTCCGGAATTTCGTTGTTGTACGATGATGTGTGATTTCCAACAGCGACACATTCGGATCGATACAGATGCATTATACAACATATTATGCCATATAAATGTTGTGCCGGGAAAATTTGGTAAACAAAAATCCAAAAAAGGAACGCCAAATTGGAGAAACATTGAGAAGAAAGAATTCAGGGCAAACAAACATGGGAGTTGGAATCTGTATTTCAATGTGGAGAAAATTTGCAAATTGGTGAGCAACAAAAAGGATTTTGATCACCAGATTTGTTCGGATGGCGTATCTGTATCCTTTTTGTACAAAAAGCCAAAAGTACAGCCAGTCGAGAAAACGGACGCTGAAATCAAGGCAATGTACGATAGCAAACAATTCAAGTATGCTATTGGAGTTGATCCGGGCATGCGTGCGTGGAACGCTTCAGTACGACGTGAGATTGAAATCAACGAAGAGGTAAATTTGTTTTTTTTTTTTTTACAATGAATCAAAGTGATTGATATTATGATTGTGATTTCGAATACAATGTTGTTTTTATTGTCCTCATTTTGTTAGGTGAATTTGTGTATATCCAGCAAAAGATATCATTGGGATGCAAAACAAAATCGTCGTGATGCGAAAGCCGAAAGAATCACACGATTGTTTGCATTCGAAGAACAATGTGCCATCACCAAAAGGACCATCATGGCGTTCATACATTGCACATCGACTTCGAATGATGAACAACGGAATTGAAACGTATTCGGCCAAACAGTATGCACGATTGGGACTCGACAAACACATTGAATCGGTACGCGCGATGGACAAAACGACATGTAAAATGGTACGAAATGAACCATCCATTTTCTACATGGGAGCCAGCGGATCAACACCATCTAATTCGCCGATTAGAATCAAGAAATATGTACGCTGTCCAGGCACGCGCAAACTCATTGCATCGATCATGAAACGTGGCAATTGCATCATTCGAATGGTCGATGAATACATGACATCACAGCATTGCCCATTGTGTTTCAAGTGATTTCCGCAAGAAACTCGACGTGATCGATACAAGAAATGTGTGGGTTGTGTACCAAATCCAATTGTTGGACTACCACGAACCATCGTAACTAATGTGAGCAAACGATTACTGCAAATGCGACGAGTAATTGAACGAATGTGGCGCGAGATGGGCGATGAAATTGCTGCAACTCTTCGAGATGGACCGAATGCAGCTCGTTTGATGTCAAAGAAGCAACGCTTCTTCAAAACATGGCTACCAAATGTTGCAAACATTGAAATCGAGGGAGCTGCTGGAGCACAACCATCGCTAACAACTGTATGGCATCGTGATATCGCAGCAGCGAAGCTGATCCTGTACAAAGGTATGCAATCTGATGAAATTGATACAAATTTTAAACGAATTGATAATAATGTGTTTTCGTTATTTTATTTGGTAGGTGAATGCGTGGTGTTCAAGCGGACGATTCATCCAAATGTACGCAGACCACCCCGCGTTGTCAACAATCCACCTTTACCATTGTATCGCGGTCAGAATCAGAATGTCAACAATGGACAACTGCAGCCGTAGTAGTAGCAGCGCTCATTCAACGAAATCAACAATATTCAATCAAATCATAATTTAAAAATTAGTTATAACAATTATTTGTTAGTACGCTAGGCTTGATTAAATTGTGGCCTTGTCCCAGTACAAGTATTATTGTAGGTTAGTATAGTGTACTGAATAGGATATTAAGTCAATTTTTGTATCATAATAATTGAATTTTTTCTGTTTTTTTTTTTCATTCCATTGATGACGTTGATTTTGACTGAAACTACACACAAATCCGGGCCCAAATTCGACCGTCAACCTATGCCCGATAATGGATGAATTTGCCACAACAATTGTTCTTTGTTGTCTTAAGACGTATATATTGTGAATATTTGTGTTTATTTTGTATCATAAATTTTAACAAACCAATTTTAAACAAACCCCTCAGATTTTAACAAACCAATTTTTTCGGCAATTTATATCGTTTTGTACTAAGAAAAATGAATTTTTTATAACACTTCGTGCACTTTACTGGTCAGTATTAGAACAAAATTTACTTTAAATGATTTCGGAAAAACTTTTAACGATGTATTTGTAAAATCTAGATCCATCAAAGTTTCGTTAGCTCCATAAAATACATATTCATCAATGTTCTTGATGGGTATATTTTGAATAGAAATTTTGTTAACTTTCAAATTAAGGAAGATAGTCCCGAATAAAGCGCCTAAAACATATGATTATTCATAAAAATGTATTCAAGGAAATATAATATTTAAAATACCAAAATTAGATGTATCGATGAGCAAAGTATCAACTGAAATCTGTTTGTCAGCAATATTAGCCAAAGCAAGGGATATACTAGCTAGATTTGCATTTATACACTCTGCTTTGATTCCGAAATTCGTAGTATTAAAGCATTTGCACGGATGTATTGTCAGAGGACTAATTATAACAAAAGAAACATGAAATAAATGTGGTTGGAATATAAATATGTTATGTAAAATACTAATGTTACGTAATAATAATAATAATAATAGTAATAACTGCATCGAACAGCGGTCCTTCGCCTTGGTGGTTTATTTGAAATAATTTGAATAAATACAATATAATTAAATTTTTACATCAAGCAGTTTTGAAAGAGATAAATCATAATTATTAATTATTATAAATAATTTCATTTATGTTTTCAATTCATCTATTTTGTTTTGAATATTTTTCAATTATCAGTTTAACTGTTGATAAATTTACTTCTAAATCAATTAAATTAGTATCACTGTTTGGTATTTTTTTGTATAATAATCATTGAATGTTGTTAGCATATAATTAATCGGTTCAAACTTTGTGAATCGCTCTTTCTAATTGTTATATCAAAAAGTGGTGTGGCTCTGGTATTATGCGCTGAATCGTAATAATTCAAACTGTTCATATTTCCATGAATAATTTTGAAATTGAAAGACACTTGCGCCACCTTGTGTCTCTCTTCAAGCGTAATCATTTGTAAAAATGGTTGTCTATGTTTATATTTCGGAAGCCTGTAACTGTTTCAGTTCATTCTCCTTAGCGCATAAATTAAAAATTGTTTTTGTATTGACTCTATTCTCTTGCATATATTGTCGTAGTGTGGATTTCATATTTCAGATCCATATTCGATATATTGGTAATACGAATGTAAAATAAAGGCGTTTAATTGTCCATGCGTCGATAAAATCCTTGCTGTAGAGCTTTAACCAAGCCAGTTTCGATTTGGCTTTAGCCGTGACATGCTCAATGTATGATTTGAAATTCATTTGTACATCAAGTAACACTCCCAAGTCCCTTATTACAAAGACTCTTTCAATTTGAACGCCGCCTATTTTGTATTTGTATTCATATTGCAGTGATCATCGATGATATGATATGACCTTTGTTTTCATTGTTTCATACAAAAAAATCTCAATCATGAAATCGGTAAAAATAAATGACCAACTAAACTGAGATCAAAATAAAAGAGCAACATGATTCATGTTGGTCTTTTATTTTCACTCTAAACATGTTGAGCTTTTATTTTTACGCTGCGCACGGTGGTGTTTCATTTTCAAAGCAAATAAGTTCCCGTTTTATTGGAAGTCCTATCAAGTTGGTATTTTATTTACATTTTTATCATGTTGAATTTTTATTTATTTTAGCGGTCTTCCGTGTTTCAAAAAATCGCAAAAAATGGAAAAAAAATATTAATTTTTTATTCTTCGATTTACAAATTCTATTCAATTTTCTGTATCATCTGATGAAATCAGAATGAAAAAACTCTCATTCCTTATCATTGAAATCGTGAAATAACACGTTTAGTTCGTGTATTTTTGACATTTTATGGAATGTGATATGAAACGTGTTTGAGAAATTTCGAATAATTTATTAAAATTAAAGTGATTTTAATATTTTGATAAAATAACAGTGAAAATAAAAGGTCTTACATCCGTAAGATTAACTTTTCCGCACTGTGATCCACAACATGCATTTATTACGTATCTTTTACCGTAAATATGAATTCATGAGAAAACTGAATCTGATACAAGTTTTGCGATACAAATAATTTTTGATAGACCTTTCATTGCCTGTATGATATCGTAATCATGTGAAAATTTGCAGAGGTTATTTTTTTTCACAAAAAGTTAACATTCTGAAAGTTTGAAGAAATTTCAATGCATATTAAGGGTACTTCCCATACAAAATTTCGTTTTTGAGCGAAAAATCCAAAATTTTGCTCTGGAGTACCTCTAATATGCATTGAAATGTCTTCAAACCCTCGGAATGTTATTTTTGTGTGATAAACATAACCTGTGCAAAGTTTCGGCTCATTATGATATCATACAGGCATGGCTTCCATACAAAAATCCTAATTTTTTGAAATTTTTGTATGAAAAGTGTGTCGAAAATTATTTGTATCGCAAAACTAACGTCAAATTCCACAGCAATGAAACGACAACAACAATAACACATATTTTTACTGTCAAAATATTGATGTCAAATGGTGTCGACATTGGTGACGGTATTTTGAAACAGACTGTGTAATCCATATTCATCGTATATGATCCTATGTAAAGTTCTATACTTGATCTAGTTCACATTGACGGTTCAAATCGTTTATGTCCACTAGCGTGGACATGGACTGTGTGTTTCTTCTGTTACATGTACGTTGTAATGGACAAGTATAATAACAAGGCGTCGTTCAAATAAATTTAAAAATCCGTCCACTCGTGTCGACACCATCTAGCACGGTAATAGGGATTTCATTGCTGTGTCAAATTCGGTTTTCTCGTACCCAAACCCCCCAATACATAATTTTGAGTGTTTAAGAATACATTAAATATCACTTTTGGAAGAAATAAAATATTGCTACGAATATTCTGGATTTGGTATTCGTGAACTCCACAGATGATTTCAAATTATGCATTGATTCTTACTTATCGAGCGTAATCAACAGGAAGAATACCATATGAAATCGTTTTTGAGTATTCAGTTGTTGAATCTCATCGTCAGATTGAACCGCGAAAGGATTACAGCTATCTCAAAGGAAATTATCGACGTATGTGTCAATAACTTGTGTGCTCTGATGTCATAGTTTGGCCTATAAACATAAATAATCCTTCAATTAGTTCAAAACTGATCAGACTTGAATATTATCGTCCACTTCGTAACGTAAGATTGTTTAAATGCAAACCGTTTTCAAAAAAAAATGCTTTTAATTTTTTACAAAACGTGTTTTTAGTACAAAATTTTCCTCGAAAAATATATATACGTTTTTTAAATTAGATGCATCCAAAGAACACGTTTTGAACATTTTTTAAGCCAATTTATTTTTTAAAATTTCAACTTTCATGTCAGTGTGCTTCTATGGTTCTGTCACAGTGATACACATCAAAATGCTTTGGAAAGTATACACTGGATGAGTGCATAGACGTAAGAAATGCTTCAACAAAACATATCACCAAATTTCAACTTTCATGTCGCGGTGTCATACACCTAAATTATTCGTATATTTGATTGTTTCTAAAAAACTCAATTGTGTCAACCAAAATTCTGAATATGTAATGAAAGTTCTAAAAAGTGTAATAAAATTTTTTTTTTTTGCTTTTTAGTACATTTTTTAGTACATTTTCAAAAAAAATTAGTACATTCAGAAAGTACAAATTGAGTACAAATTTTTGGTATATTTGGTTTTTAATTCTGAAAACTAACATTTCTGTACTAAAAAAACACTTGTTATTTTAGTACAGTCGATGTAATAATTTATATATAGTACAAATTATGCAGATTCTGAATATGTAATCAAAGTTCTAAAAAGTGTACTAAATTTTTTTTGCTTTTTAGTACATTTTCAAATTTTTTTAGTACATTTAGAAAGTACAAATTGATTACAAATTCATGGTATATTTAGTTTTTCGAACCGATGTGTACTAAAAAAATGTTAGTACAAATTAGTACAAATTGAGTACAAATTATCTATGGGTGTAATGACCCCCTAGCTCAAAATCACCCGTGAGTCATTGTGGTCTAGAATTTCTCCAATTGTCGTTGGACCTTATGTATTGCGTCGAGCTCACTCTATGTAGACACGCGTAATAAACTACTTCCGTTCTTCCTTTACACGTTGGTTAAGCATGTTATTGGCTATACGCCCCAACACAAACGCTGTTTCACCAGCAACGTTGACTAAATTCATGAAATAGGTCATCGACCAATATTTTTTCAGCACTGATTCCGATGAAAAGTATACACATGACATAATTCATCGAGCATATGAACGCCTATTTAATTCACACTCTTATTACGATTAATAAAAAAAATTAAATCGAAAAAGCAAAACAATTCATTTTGTGATGTAATTTGCCATACAAAATGCTCTGGGATCCAAGAGATCTCTGGTGCGCTTTTACGTGAGTTTTTCATGGGGCTTAAACATGGAAATATTTGATTGTTATTCATTGATATGATGAAAAGGAAAGGGTTAATTATTTAGGTCGATAAATATATGTTAAGATTTATGAGACACCCTGTACATTTTTAGAATAGTTAGATATTAGATTAATTTTCAGTATGTTTTGTCGTGTGTATATTAAGTTATTTCATTTTATTATCAGATAAAATTCATAATCACCTTTTTGGACAGCTATATACTTGTAAATTGCAAAACACTTGAGCAATCATGAACATGAAAATCATAATAGCACCTGGTGAATAGTATGAATAGTACAGCCATGTTTTGAACATCTTCGCTTAAATCATCCGTTCCCACCAAAAAATACGTTTTTGAAGATACTCAAATGAAAGTTATATAAATAATTTACAAAAATTCAAAAGAAAATATTTTTGAAATCACTTTTTTTAGGTTCTGTCAAAACATTAAATCGCATCAATTTTACAGATTATATTTTCTGGGACTAAAATTGAATTCAACAGATTTTTTTTGTATAGCCACATTTATCATAGTTTTGTATGAAAATGGTTTTGTGACATTTTTCGAAACCAGTTTCTATCAAGTTTATTTCAATAATGAATACATTTCATTGAGACAATTTTTTCTTTTCTACTAATTTTTCAATTTTAACGAACTCTAGAGTTTTATTTTTGTTTTGTTAATTTAATGCAATATAATGTAAATATATATAAATCCTTTCAGAGATAAAAGATGGTAATTTCACAAGCTTTTGATCTCACTAGTATTTACTTTGACTTTTGCCTAAACTTATGTTTGTTCCGTTCAATAATAACAAAATGATACTACTTAAAGATATGAGCAAAAAAGAAAGTTATAATACATTTTTTTTTATTTATATTATAGGTGGGAAACATTGCCGCTGACAGCGACTTTACATGTATCATATAGTTTTTCTTACTAAGGTTTTTGAAATTTTACTGTCATATATGACATTATATAATGAAATTATATATAATTTTATTTTTCTGTGTAGGTATTTTGTAAAAAAAAATCCAAACTGAACAAAGATAATAATTATATCAATGTATATAAGCCATGGAAGTGATGACATCTCGACTACATAGCAAACTTACATTATTATGATCTTAATAGTTTCTCCGACAACTACTGTGGAGCCGCAAACGCTTTTGCTTGTCATTTCTATGCATTGATTTGTTATTATGTTTGGACATTATAATCTTTTTTTATTGGAGCAAAGCCCTTCTTCGTTAGTTATATGAATCGAGGAAAGAAAATCATCAAAAAATAAGTAATCAAAAATTCCAGATTATAAGAATTAACAAAGCGTTCGAGAGAGTTTGTTTTCATATAATATATAATTTAAAATATGCGATTCAAAACATTTAAGTGTTCAAACCATTAACAATACTTTTTGAATTACCACTAGATGTCGTCATATTAATATTTTGAATTTTCGAAATGCAATGGACATCTTTCCAAACTTTTTCGATTGGCGCCGTGTATATGTGTCAAACTAAATCCAACGATATTCATTTATATGTATTAAAAATTTTCGCGCATCGTGTGACAGTATTGTTAGTATAAACAACTATCGCACCAACCGATTTTGTTTACAATAAAGCTTTGTTTTGTTTTCAACAGGATATCTTGAGATGGAGTGTTGGTAGCGTGGTTTGGGCGATCAATTGGTTTTATTGTCATTTCAATTTCAACGATTTTGTGTGTTCGGAACGCTGTTCGCTGTGGAATGGATATATTCACAGTTGGTTTTGTGTTCATTTTTGTTTTATTTTTGAAATAACAGAGTGTTGATAAAATTTACTGAGAATATTCCAACAACATTTTGGTCGTCAAAATATTTGATGTCACATTGGAAATAAATTTCATCATTCGATTTGTAATACAGAGTCACTTTGTTGAGGTGATATTTATGAGGCGTTCTTCATAACTGTTTCATTTGATTTTTGATAGAAGAGTTTTTATCTTATTGTGTTTGTGAGCTATCCTATATTTGGTGCATTTTTTTCTTAATTTGTGTCTATTTTTTTATTTTCGTTTATTTGTATCAGTTCTACAAGAATGAAAAGAAAAATAGATAATAACGATTCGCCGGTATACGATGACGAAAGATAAGAAGAAAAAAAAGTTCGTTGCAATAAAATGTGCAGCAGCAGTTGTGACGCAAATATTGTCTGAGCGCAGTCTTCAAATGATGGAAGTTGCCTCATTGGCCTCACTTTTGATTTTATTCAAGGTGAATGAAGCATCATCTTGATAGTGAAGATCGTCAGTTCTTTTTGCGATTGGATCGTCGACAGTTCTTCTTCGATTGCTTCAATGCGGTATTGGCCGAAAATGTTAATAATATTAACTCAAATCCCATACCGCCAGAGTTTCGGTTCATGGTCGAAAACTTCAGTTATGAACAGTTCGAATGGCACAGCAAGGAAAAGTTGGGGAATGGTTTCCGTTATTTTGTCAAACAGCACATCGCAAATACGATAACCAATCTCACCACTTGGTGTGAAGATCGACTTGAGTCATTCTTTCGAATGCGATGCTGTTATCGCAATCACAACATCAATGGACCGAGATTTGATGGCATCGACATCAGAAATGCCAAAATGTTAGCATATCGATTCAACGACTTGACAAATGGTAATGTGGAAAGAATAGAAAAGGCCAACATTTTATTGGATGATCTGGTCGATAAAATCAAGCAATTGGGCAAATGATCCAAACAATTCTATCATCAAATCGTGACCAATAGTGTTTCCGTATCGGTACTGTACACCAAACCATAACGAACGTGCAACGAAAATGTGCATTCACAGCCGGTAAATCTTGTGAATCATCCAACGGATGAAAAAACGTGGTTGGCTGTAACGCGTCGTAACATCCGGAAAACACCTGATGAACCGGCCTGATGAACCGAAGCCGAAGGTGAGATATTTTGAAATCTAACTTGAAATGTGTTTGAATCGAAACTATAGTAATTGTTTTTATGATTTTTAATTTTGAAGGAAAACATCACAATACCAAACACGCGATTTCACTGGGATACTCCGCAGAAGAGAAAAGATAAAGAGGCAAAAGAATTGGCTGGATGATTTGATATCGAAGAAAAGAATTATCTGAAGTCATACCCATTCGGTCCACCATCACCGCGTTATTCAACATGGAAATGGTGCATTGAGTATCGTATCAAAATGCTACGAAAAGGAATGTCAGCATATGCAACGCGTAAATATTCACGACTGGATTTTGATCATTACATGAAGTCGAACCAAGTAAATGATAACGTCGCCGTGACAGTGACCAAAAACATGCCGTTAATGTTTTTCTTTGGTGCATCGGAGATGCCACCCAATCGGCCATTTGTTTTGAAGAGACGGAAAAAATGCCCAGGATCGCGGAAAGAGTTTCTTAGCAATTGTATGACACTTTAGTAAGAAAGTAGTTCCAACTATTTACCAATAGATGGCGACACATAAAATAGCAACTTCGAAACAAATACGCATTTCCTATACTTATCGTAAAAAATGTAATAAAAAATCGCGTGCTGAGATAAACAGTAACAATAATTATTATACACAGGGTATAATACACAAATATTTATTTTTTCTCAGCACGCGATTTTTTATTACATTTTTTACGATAAGTATAGTAGATTGCCAAATGTCGACACACGACCAAATGTCGGAATACCGAGAGGTGAATTGAAATTAAAAATCGAAAATTCGTTTTAATTGCATTTTTAAAAACAAATTATGAATGATCAATATCAAATCTATATATAATAATCCAAATATTCATCAAAAATCTATTATTGCTCTCAAAAATTACGTTCAAAAAAATGCTATATTTTTATCAATTTTTTACGTCAAAAGTTAAACTATATCATTTTTAGACGAGCCGGTAAAATGCATTTTTTGGTATGAAAAAATAACTACTTTGAAAAAAAAATTATATCTGCGAATTGTAGATAGTTTAATTTAGTTATTGAACAGAAATATTGAAAATATAAAGAAAAACAATTATATTTATGTTCCATTTTTCACTGTAATATTATTCCGGAATAAATCGTTCAATTGCCGACACATTAAGCACCGAAGTTTCAAGTGAAACACTTTGCATTTGACAGATGTGACAGTTAAAGTCGTATTTGGATCATTGTGAAATTCAACCAAAAATATTATAGATCAGTGAAATAACGTAATATTTTTAAATATTTTTGCTATTTTATTGTGAAAAATAAATAAAATTAAATATGCAGCAAAAATATATCAATCCAATAATTTCAACTTCGATATTTTGTATTGTTTTCCTCAATGTAAAGAATGCGTTCCTGAGCTGTCAAAACTTAAAGTTTTTCAAGTTTCGCAGTGAAAATTCATGAAATATGTCGAGATTTGGGAGCCGAGAATTGGACGACGAATATCCGACATTTGGAATTTTCGATGTTACGACGGAAAAATGGAAAATAATAATATATGTTTGGAAATTTCTTTCTTTTGACAAGTGTGAAATGAAGCACAATTAAATTCTGCATAGAAATGTGTATAGAATGATATTTTTAGATGAAATCAAAAGTGTTAAATATTAAATTGAAGTTGAAAATTCAAACAAATAGTCCGACATTTAGGCGAGTGTCCTTATAGGAAATGCGTATCTGTTTCGAAGTTGCTATTTTATGTGTCGCCATCTATTGATAAATAGTCAAATTACAAATTTACTATTATCTAACATCCCCTTTTTGGTGAGCGTCAAGAAACTTGGCCATTCAGTGGTGAAAATGGAAGATGAATGGGGAACATCACAAACATGCGAGAATTGCCAAGAATGATTTCAGTGATCACAAAATCGCATGGATTTAAAGTGTGCTACGGTTGCAAAGCGAAACCGATTGCTGGACTCTAGAGGATAACCACCAAACTAGTTTTTCTAGTGCGTGAAGTTGGTTCTCTTGGTTAGTTTTACGTACAATTTGTACCCACATTAGTGTGAAGTTGGCTTCGTTTTGTGATAAGCGGTGCACAGAGAGCACTACGAATCCAAATGACGTACGCGTACTGATTCATACTTTAATATGTCACACAGAGTACGACCATAAATACTCGCCTCATTGAAATACTTATTTTTTATGTAAATTCATGTAAATAATATTTACAACACATTTTCTAAATTTTTATTTAAATTGATATTTTTTACTAATTTCTTTTAATCATATTTAATACTTGTGTATAAAATATGAACAAATATGAATTTCCGTATAGAGCAGATATGATTACTCCTAAATTGCACATAATATTTATACATGCATCGATTGTTCATGTGTATTTTAGGAGTAATATCTTTACCATTCTATGCAAAATGTGCTACGGGCAGAACAAATATGATAAAAAATGTGCTGTACGTAGGACATTTTTGCATTGAATGGTAAAGACATTATTCCTAAAACAAATTGCAATGATGTCCACAGAACGAATGGTAAAAAAACTATATTATAAGACACATAAAATGACTCAAAATAAAAACAAGCATTATTCAATAAATATTAAAAATTAATGCAATTCAGGAGTAACCCGAAAAACACAACGTAATACATAACCTTGAAATTGAATGATACTTTGTTTTCACACAAAGTGTATTATGTGCAATTTAGGAGTAATCACATCTGTTCATTGAAATTCAATTATGGATTCATTGAAAATTTAAATGAGTTCATATTTTAAAGACAAGTAATAAATATAATAAACTAGAATTGATAAGAAATAATTTTCAATATAAATACAATAAATGTGTTGTAAATACTATTT